AATAGTAGGACCCAGAGGGGAGGAGTGCAGAAGAAGAGAGGGAGGGAAAGAAAAAAAAAAGGTTTTGACTTCCGACTCCCTCTGTTGCAGTAGGATAAGGCATTAACATCAAACTTCAACGTTTTACTTTTCCATAATATTATAAACTAGCCATTTCTATAAACAACAAATCAATCTAATCAGTAAAATCAAAGTTTCATTTTTTTCCCACCTCAGGCAGAAAGTCCAGAAGCGGTTTCCAAGTAGAAACAAAAGTACTTATATTCTTCCCTTTGATCAAAACGGTCAATTTAGCCATCTCTTCTCACTTCTAAAAAAGCATGCACACCACCACTGGCCATGTCCTGGGTGTGCTTGAATTGAGAGTTGACACAACGGTAGTCCTCGACTTACAACCATTTCTTTAGCGACCGTCCAAAGTTACAACGGCACTGAAAAAAGGGACTTACAACCAGTTCGCGCACCTTCAACGGTTGCAGCGTCCATCGTGTGATCAAAATTCAGGCGACTGGAAACCAGCACATACTTACGACGGTTGCAGTATCCTGGTCACATGATCACCATTTACAACCTTCCCAGCCAGCTTCCGACAAGCCAAGTCAAGGGGGGAAGCCAGATTCGTTTAATGACCGCATGAGCCACTTAACAAATGCAGGGATTCGCTTAATAACTATGGCGAAAAAGGTGATAAAATTAGACACGGCGCACTTAACGATCTTATCCGTGGAAATTCCAATCCCAATTGCAGTTGTAAGTCGAGGACGGGCTGTATAGCAACGGATTCAGATTCTGGGTGGGGAATAAGGGGTTGGAATAAATGATCTCCAGGTACCCTTTCAATCTTTCTGCACTAGAAGAAATTCCAACCGGTTAAATCAGGTTTCCATGGAGATCAATCTAACTCTGTGGCCGCTAAGAGTCAAGGCCAAGTTGATGGCACATAATCGATCAAACAAGATTGGTTTAAGAGCAGAACAGAAAGATTGGACTCTGAAAATATCTTTAAATAACCCACCATTGAGGATGCTCTAAAATAAATGACGAAATCCTGCATTGGGCAAGACTTGGACCAGAATAACAGGGTTGGAAGGGATCTTGGAGTTGAACCCCCTGCTCAAGCAGGAGATCCTATACCCATGATGGCGAACCTATGGCATGCATGCCACAGGTGGCACACGGAGCCATATCGGGGGGCACGCGAGATCAGTTCCGGCGCACATGCGCGTGCTGGCCAGCTGATTTTCGGGCCTGCTGGAAGTCAACAAACAGGCCGTTTCGGGCCTCCAGGCGGTGGGGAAGGCCGTTTTTGCCCTCCCCAGGCTCCTAGAAAGGCTCTGGAGCCTCGAGAGGGCAAAAAACAGGCCTACCGTGCCCACCGTGCATCGCGCGCTAAAAGCAGGGGAAGTGTGGGAGGGTTGCACACACATGCGCAGGGGCGGGGCACATAGAATTATGGGTGTGGGCACGCACGCGCGTGACCCCCACGCGCTCCCCACGCTTTTGGCACGCGATGGCAAAAAGGTTAGCCACCGCTGTCCTATACCATTTCAGACAAATGGCTGTCCAGTCTCTTCTTAAAAGCCTCCAGTGATGGAGGGCCCATGATTTCCGAAAGGAAAGCTGTTCCATTGGTTAATTATCCTCACTGTCGGGAAATTTCTCCTTAGTTCTAGGTTGCTTCTCTCCTGGATTAGTAAGAGGAGGAAGGTAAGGAAGAGGAGGAAGATGAAGAAGGAAAATCAAAGGGGAGGAAGAAGAAGGAAAGGAAGAGGAAAAGGAGAAGGAGAAGAGAAAGAAAAGAAGGGAGAAGAGGGAGAAGAGAAAGAAAAGAAGGGAGAAGAGGGAGAAGAGAGAAGAAAAGAAGGAAGAGGAAAAAGAAGAGGAAGAGAAGAGGGAAAGGAGGGAGAAGAATTAACTTTACAACTTTGCAATCCCAAACCATTGAAAAACTTTCAGGATTTTTTTAAAGATGTGGATGGATGTGACGTATGCAGATCTGGATACCTTTATTTCATTACCCAAACTAGGTAATATCATCAATACTAGCACTGAGGATGTTACCTAGTTGGGTAATGAAAAGTCTGCAAGAAAACAAGCAAGCTCAGAGAAACACCAAGGACCTCACAGTCCTCTCCTCCTCCTCCTCCTCCTCCCAGCAAATTCCATGCCTTCTAGCACTGGATGTTACCTAGTAGGGTAATGAAACGTCCAAGCTCAGAGAAACAAGCTCAGAGCAACAAAACAACCAAGCTCAGAGAAACACCAAGGACCTCACAGTCCTCCTCCTCCTCTTCCTCCTCCTCCTCCTCCTCCTCCCTGCAAACCCCACTGTCACTCATGATGTTACCCAGGTTGGGTAATTGTTGGGGGATTGTCTTCCCTCCCTCTCTCTCTCTCTCTGCCCTCCAAAAATCGAGCCCAGATTTCTCATCGGACCCGTTTCCTCTCCGCGATCCTTTTTCGGATTCCACGGCTGGACCGATGAGAAGCAGATGACAGCCGGCGTTTATGTGGGCCGAACTTCTTCCCTCCTGAGTGTTTGCAAAGAATCCAACGCTCGATGGCCCTTCATCAAAAATCAATTGCTCTCAGCCTGCTTGCGAAGCAATTGAACCTTCTCTTGTAATCACTCCATGCGCCCAGGCTCGCTGATCTGGCATTCATGCTGTCCTGAAGTCATTGCCAATCTTTTCCCCTGCGATGCGCCAAGCGCGCTCCTCGCAGCATGGAGTTGTTTGGAAACTTGTGGCAAGAGGTTTTGCATGAGCTGGAATCAGCGCCTCGAATGCTTTGCTAGGCGCTCTACTATTCTCGGAGACGGTTGTTTCTGCGGGGGGGCTCTAATTTTCCAATTTCACCCTTTGTTTCTGGCCCGAAACTCATCCGTCTACGTTCTGATTTTGCCCCCAGAGTGAATCACTGCTAATCTCTCCCATCTGTTCCGGTGCGGTTTCAAAGGGGTAGACGTGCCACAGGAAATCTCTTTTCTCCCCTCTGAAATTGATTATTAATCATTCTGGTAACTGGTCTGTGATGGTTGTTTTTAATGTGTACACTTTATAGTAATTATCAGATTAATCTTAGGCAGAAGGTGATTAGGATTCGTAGTATGAACATATGTGTGTTTACTGTAATAAGCAGGAATCTGAAGTCAAAACACAGCGTAAACTGTGGGCCTCTTCAAGGGGAGGGGTGCCACAGTCCCCCTCCTCCCAAATTTATTTCAATGAGATAAACTTTTGGACTAACTTGGTGTTTGTTTTTCAACCTGGGCAACATTAAGAAGTCTGTGGACTTCGACTCCCAGAATTCTGGGAGTCAAACTCCAAAATTCTGACTGGAGAATTCTGGGAGTCGAAGTCCACAAATGCTGGCTGGGGATTTCTGGGAGTCGAAGTCCACAAATGCCGGCTGGGGAATTCTGGGAGTCGAAGTCCACAAATGCCAGTTGGGGAATTCTGGGATTCAAAGTCCACAAATGCTGGCTGGGGATTTCTGGGAGTCGAAGTCCACAAATGCCGGCTGGGGAATTCTGGGAGTCGAAGTCCACAAATGCCGGCTGGGGAATTCTGGGAGTCGAAGTCCACAAATGCCGGCTGGGGAATTCTGGGATTCGAAGTCCACAAATGCTGGCTGGGGAATTCTGGGAGTTGAACTCCACAAATGCCGGCTGCGGAATTCTGGGAGTCGAAGTCCACAAATGCCAGTTGGGGAATTCTGGGATTCAAAGTCCACAAATGCCGGCTGGGGAATTCTGGGAGTTGAACTCCACAAATGCCGGCTGCGGAATTCTGGGAGTCGAAGTCCACAAATGCCAGTTGGGGAATTCTGGGATTCAAAGTCCACAAATGCTGGCTGGGGATTTCTGGGAGTCGAAGTCCACAAATGCCAGCTGGGGAATTCTGGGAGTTGAACTCCACAAATGCCGGCTGGGGAATTCTGGGAGTCAAACTCCAAAATTCTGACTGGAGAATTCTGGGAGTCGAAGTCCACAAATGCCAGTTGGGGAATTCTGGGATTCAAAGTCCACAAATGCTGGCTGGGGATTTCTGGGAGTCGAAGTCCACAAATGCCAGCTGGGGAATTCTGGGAGTTGAACTCCACAAATGCCGGCTGGGGAATTCTGGGAGTCAAACTCCAAAATTCTGACTGGAGAATTCTGGGAGTCGAAGTCCACAAATGCCGGCTGGGGAATTCTGGGGAGTCGAAGTCACAAATGCCGGCTGGGGAATTCTGGGAGTCGAAGTCCACAAATGCCAACTGGGGAATTCTGGGGGTCAAAGTCCACAAATACCAGCTGGGGTATTCTGGGAGTTGAAGTCCACAAATGCCGGCTGGGGAATTCTGGGAGTCGAAATCCACAAATGCCGGCTGGGGAATTCTGGGAGTCAAACTCCAAAATTCTGACTGGAGAATTCTGGGAGTCGAAGTCCACAAATGCTGGCTGGGGATTTCTGGGGGTCGAAGTCCACAAATGCCAGCTGCGGAATTCTTTGAGTCGAAGTCCACAAATGCCGACTGGGGAATTCTGGGAGTCGAAGTCCACAAATGCCGGCTGGGGAATTTTGGAACTTGAAATCCACAAGTGCTGGCTGAGGATTTCTGGGAGTTGAAGTCCATCCATCTTCAAATTTACAAGCTTTAAAAGGCTGAGAGATGGATTATCTGAAGGCAGGGCTGTCCACAGGGAAGAGGTGAAGAAATTCAAGGTGGCCTTTACAATCATACGAACCAAAATCCGCCCTTTGGACAAAGATTGTCGTTTTCTTGGCCTCTTTTTCAGAAGTGGTTTGCTGTCACCTTCTTCTTCTTAGAGTTATGAGAGAGGGACAGGCCCCAGGCCATTCAGCTTTCTTCCTGCCTAAGGCAGGACTTGAACTCATGGTCCCCTGGTGACTTTGAGGCACAAAGACCCAGTGACATCTCTGCTTTGTTTATTCTAGCCTTAAACCCCCTTTCAGCTCATATAACTGGGTTTTCTGTCTCGGTTTCTTTTTAAGGAGTGATGCCCAAGACTCTTGAGATTAAGTATTGTGTCAGCTTCTGGGGGAAAAACATCACGTGCTACTGGGATCTTCTGCCAGAGATGGATTCTCCAATCACCTACACCCTCCAGGTCACGGAGTAAGCTTTCCTCATGGGTCCCTTGCAGAAGGTATTGGTGTGCGTTCCTGGCGAAGTGCAGTTGTGTTGTGCAAAGAGGACAACCAAAGCTTTTTCCAACCCTGATACGGCCCTCAATGAAATCAAGTTTGACACCCCTGTCTGAGCAGCGGGTTGGACTACAAGACCTCCAAAGTTCCTTCCAATTCTGTCATTCTATGTTTTATGCTCTATGTTCTAAATCAGCAGTCCCCAACCTTTGCCCAGCTGAGGAGTGGGGGAGAGGGGGACCGGGCCACGGGAGCAGGGGTAGGCTGCTGAGGTTTGCAAGGGTTCGGGAGAACCTCTAGCTAAGATTCTGTAGAGTTCGGAGAAGCCCCAAATCCCACTCCTGGCTGGCCCCGCCCATCCCGCCCCGCCCCTCCCAAGAGCCCCCATGCGGCCCATTTTGGATGCAGGTAAGTGCAGAGTGCACGCAGAGGCTCAGGGAGGGTGAAAAATGGGTCTACTGGAAGTTTGGGAAGAGGACCTCCAGAGGGCCTCCGGAGCCTGGGGAGAGCAAAAAACACCCCCACCCCCCGCCATGGTGCAGGAGGTCAACTAGGCCACGCCCACCATGGCCACACCCACACAGCAACCGGGCAGAAAACCCCTTGCTAAAATTTTTGAAGCCTACCCCTGTGCGGGAGTCTGGCGAGCACATGCATGTGTGTGCGGCTTAACCCACGCAAGCAGCGATCTATTCCACCATTTCTTTGATATTAGTGTAACTCTTGTCCCACAGAGAGTTGGCTGTGGCGAGTTGGCCATGATGAGTTGGCCATGGTGAGTTGGTTGTGATGAGTTGGCCATGATGAGTTGGTTGTGATGAGTTGGCCATGGTGAGTTGGCCGTGCTGAGTTGGCCGTGGTGAGTTGGTTGTGATGACTTGGTTGTGATGATTTGGCCGTGCTGAGTTGGTCGTGCTGAGTTGGCCATGCTGAGTTGGCCGTGGTGAGTTGGTTGTGATGACTTGGTTGTGATGAGTTGGTCGTGATGAGTTGGTTGTTATGAGTTGGTTGTGATGAGTTGGCCGTGGAGAGTTGGCCGTGGTGAGTTGGTTGTGATGAGTTGCCCATGGTGAATTGATTGTGATGAGTTGGTTGTGATGAGTTGGTTGTGATGAGTTGACCATGGTGAATTGGTTATGATGAGTTGGCGGTGGCGAATTGGCTGTGGTGAGTTGGCCATGGCGAGTTGGCCATGGTGAGTTGGCCATGGTAAGTTGGCGGTGGCAAATTGTCATAGACCAAGCTGGTCTTACCAAAACCCACAAGTTTTTGGCAAAAGACTTATAAATCATAAAATGTGACCAGGTGAATGCAGGATGGTGTAAATGCAGGCCAGTTGCCAAGCACCCGAATTGTGTTTTAAATGCATCAAAGGCTCTCTCCATCACTTACTGCCTCCAACACCTGCTTAGTGCCCCTTCTGATGTTCCTGGTGCCAAGTAACCAACAGGACTTTTAGATCCTATCACGGCTGGTTTCTTTTCTCCAGGGAAGCTGGACGCTGCCAAAGAGACTTTGGCCTCCTCAAGAATTGCGTGGCTGATCCAGGAGAACATTGGTGTGGTGTTCCGGTAGAGAACCTCTTTGCTTTCTACAAGATCAAATTAACTGCACAGAACCAGCAGCTGCGGGATGACTCCTCGGAGAAGTGCCTCCGTGGAATGAGCATCGGTAAGCCAAGGGGACGGGAGAGAAATTGGACTCACCTGGTACAGGTAATCCTAGTAGACCCATGACTGGTCCTGGCCCTTATGACTCCTCCTACTCCTCCTCTAGCTTCTCCTTCTGCTTCTATAGTTTGTCCTTCTCTTTCTTCTCCTTCTCCTCTTCTTCCTTCAATAACCTCCTTCTGTTCTCCTTCTCTTTCTCCTCCTCCTCCTCCTCCTCCAGCTTCTCCTTTTGCTTCTATAGCTTCTCCTTCTTCTTTTCCTTCTCCTTCTATGACTTCTCCTCCTCTTCTTCCTCCTTCTCCTTCTCCTCTTTCTCCTTCCTCCTCCTTCTATTAACCTCCTTCTTCTTTTCTCCTTTTCCTTCTCTTTTTCCTCCTCCTCGTCTTCCTTTTCCTCCTTTCCCCCTCCTCCTCCTCCTCCTCCTCTTCTTCTTCTCTCTTTCTCCTTCCTCCTCCTTCTATAACCTCCTTCTTCTTTTCTCCTTCTCCTTCTCTTTTTCCTCCTCCTCGTCTTCCTCCTCCTCCTCCTCCTCCTCCTCCTCCTCTTCTTCTCTTTCTCCTTCCTCCTCCTCCTCCTCCTCCTCCTCCTCCTCCTCTTCTTCTTCTTCTTCTTCTTCTTCTTCTTCTCCTCCTTCTCCTTCTCCTTCTCCTCCTTCTTCTTCCTTTCCTTCTCCTCCTGCTTCTTCTCCTTCTCCTTCTTCTCCTTCTCTTTCTATTGCTCCTCTTCTGGCTCCTTCTCCACCTCTAGCTCCTAGTCCTTTTCTCCTCCTCCTTCTCAGTGCTTTGAACCTGGCACTTTAATGCTCCCTCTGCCCGCTTATCAAATCAAGAACCTCCCAAGTGTGCCAGGCCAAAATATAAATCAAATGAATGACAATTCTTCAGTTTCAGCTGCTGTACCCAGCAGGACAAACTGAGTTATAGTTTGAAATATAAGGAGTCCTCATCTTACAACCACAATTGAGCCAAAATTTCTGCTGCTGAGCAAAGACAGGTGTTCAGCGAGTTTTGTCCCATTTTATGACCTTTCATGCCAAACTTGTTAAGTGAATCACTACAATGGTTAGTAACCCAGTTGTTAAGTGAATCTGGCTTCCCCATTGACTTTGCTTGTCACCACTGGTCACAAAAGTTGATGACCCCCGGGGACCAGTGGTGGGTTTCAAAAATTTTTACTACCGGTCCTGTGGGCGTGGCATGGCTTGGTGGGCGTGGCTTGGTGGGCGTGGCAGGGAAAGGATACTGTAAAATCCCCATTCTGTCCCCACTCCAGGGGAAGGTTACTGCAAAATCCCCATTCTGTCCCCACTCCAGGGAAAGGATACTGTAAAATCCCCATTCCGTCCCCACTCCAGGGGAAAGTTACTGCAAAATCCCCATTTCCTCCTGATCTGCTGGGACTTGGGAGGCAGATAATACATGGGGGCGGGGCCAATCAGAATTTTTATAACCGGTTCTCCGAACTACTCAAAATTTCCGCTACCGATTCTCCAGAACTGGTCAGAACCTGCTGAAACCCACCTCTGCTGGGGACACTGCAACCGTTGTAAATACAAGTCAGTTGCCCAGCATCTGAATTTTGATCCCGAGACCAGGGGGATCCTGCAACGGTCGTTAAGTGTGAAAAATGGTCACTTTTGTCAGTGCTGCTGTAACTTTGAATGGTCACTAAATGAACCATTGTAAGTTGAGGACTACCGTGTTTCCCCGAAAATACGACCTACTCAGAAAGTAAGTCCTAGCTTGATTTTTTTACACGTGCACCCAATATAAGCTCTACCCCCAAAATAAACCCTAGTTAAGATCCCACCCCAACTCCAGGGTGCACGGGTTAAAAATTAAGCTCGGGTGGGGATAGTGGGGGTGGAGCTGCCCTGCTACTTACCTTTGGATAGTTGCAGCCAGGCCTCGTGCACCTCGGCCCATTTCTTCTGTTGCAGCTGGCAAGGCTTTCCTGAAGGCCTCTGTAGCCGATAACAGAGCTCTAGATCGATCTGGAGATCTGTTATCGGCTGCAGAAGCCTTCAGAAAAGCCTTGCTGGCCTAGCTGGCCGAAGAAGTTCCTGAAGGCCTCTGATAGCGAAAAAGAGGCTGGGGACGATGCATGCAAGCGAGGTGAGTCAGTGGATAACATCCCCCCCGCCTCTGAAAATAAGACCTGGTGCCTTTTTTTGGTGGCAAAATAAATATAAGAGAGTGTCACTGCGTTTTTGTATTTACCAGATGATATTTTTGGATTTTCAGACTTTCCGTAGCTTGCCAAGTTTCTTATCAGTAAGCTAACTGCGCATGTCCACATTCCTTCACCTTTCTTCTAAAACTTCCTTTGTTCTCCTGCCAGGAGAGGTCCGGCAGGAACATTGCCAATATGTAACTAATTAGGCTAGTGAGATGTTTTATTTTCTTTATAACAAATAAATGAGTTTTTTCTTTAAAAATATATCTTCGGGTTTATTTTCTTGCAAAAGTATGCACAAGGTAAATGCCACGATTCACCTCTAATTCAGGCAATTACCCCAGGAAGATAACGGGCTGATTGCCACTCTGACAGAGAGGGTCTTACTTTGGGGGAAACACAGTACCTGTAACCACAGGGTTCCTAGGAAGCTGGGTGAAATCACTATAACCTCATTGAACGGTTGCAGAATGGCTGCAGGAACTGGGTATGTCTAGTTTAATGAAAAGAAGGACTAGGGGAGACATGATAGCAGTCTTCCAATATCTCAGGGGCTGCCACAAAGAAGAGGGAGTCAAGCTATTCTCCAAAGCACCAGAGGGCAGGACAAGAAGCAACGGGTGGAAACTAATCAAGGAGAGAAGCAACTTAGAACTAAGGAGAAACTTCCTGACAGTTAGAACAATTAACCAGTGGAACAACTTGCCTCCAGAAGTTGTGAATGCTCCAACACTGGAAGTTTTTAAGAAGAGATTAGATAACCATTTGTCTGAAGTGGTGTAGGGTTTCCTGCCTAAACAAGCAGGGGGTTGGACTAGAAGACCTCCAAGGTCCCTTCCAACTTTGTTAAATTATTATTCCCTCCCAACTCGCCCTTAATCCCTACGTTTCTTGCTTGCTGACTCAACAGCCTCTCCATTGAAGAAATCCATACGTGAGCATGACCTTGGAAGACAGAGGGCGAGATGCTGCTGTAGTGGAATGCAGTCTGGATTCCCAGAAGGGAGGGGCTGCATTCTAGAGGAAGAAGAGGCAGTGAATATAAAATACAGAAAGAGAGTTGGAAAGGACCTTGGAGGTCTTCTAGTCAAACACACACACACACACGTTCGAGCAGGAGACCCTATACCAGTGGTCCCCAACTTTTCCAGCTTGGCGGCCCTTCCAACTCTGTCATTCTATTCTATTCTATTCTATTCTATTCTATTCTATTCTATTCTATTCTATTCTATTCTATTCTATTCCTATTCTATTCCATTCCATTCCATTCATTCCATTCCATTCCGTATATTCTATTCTATTCTATTCTATTCTATTCTATTCTATTCTATTCTATTCTATTCTATTCTATTCTATTCTATTCTATTCTATTCTATTCCATTCTATTTCTATTCTATCTATTCTATTCTATTCTATTCTATTCTATTCTATTCTATTCTATTCCATTCCATTCCATTCCATTCCATTCCATTCCTTTCCTTCCATTCCCTATATTCTATTCTATTCTATTCTATTCCATGTTATGAGGTGTAAAAGACCTCAGTGCTGCCCTATAACCTGTGTGCCTTCTTCCCATTGCTCACCCTAGTGAAACTGAGTCCACCAGTATTGAATGTGGTTGCACCCCAAAGCCGCTGCCTCCAGCTGCAATGGAACCTGCCTGGGGATGAGCTGATATCAGCAACGGAGGCCCAGTACGAGATCCGGCATTGTGACCTGGTAGAGTCGTCTTGCCTGCAGGTAGGTGCCAAGCTTTTTCAGTCCCAAATGGGTTGCAGGGGCTCGACTTAACAACCACAATTGAGCCCCGAATTTCCCTAACTGAGACAGTCATTAAGTGAGTTTTGCCCCATTTTATAATTTTTCTTGCCGCCGTTGTTAAGCGAATCACTGCAGTTGTTAAGTTGGGAACACGGTTGTTAAGTGAATCTGGCTTCCCCATAGACTTTGCCTGTCAGAAGGTCGCAAAAAGGGGAACGCCTGACCCCGGGATGCGTAAATACAGGTAGTCCTCAACTTACAACAGTTCATTTAGTGACCGTTCAAAGTTACAACGGCACCGGAAAAAGTGAGCTATGACCGTTTTTCACACTTACGACCGTTGCAGCATCCCCGCGGTCACGTGATCAAAATTCAGGTGCTTGGCCACTGACTCATATTTACGACGGTTGCCGTGCCCTGCAGTCATGTGATCCCTGTTTGCAACCGTCTGACAAGCAAAGTCAATGGGAAACCCAGATTCCCTTAACAACCATGTTGCTAACTTAATTCACTTAACCACTTAGGTTGGCAAGGAAAGTCGTAAAATGAGGTGAACTCACAAAACTTTTTTTAATCAAGTTTTATTAATTTCTTTCTTTCACACACACACACACATATTTTATGAATAGAGTATTGACCGTATCATATCTGATACAATTTATCAAATCCAATTTCATTTTACGTAGTTACCATTTTTGCCAAAATATTCTTTTTCCATACCTTTTGATCCTATCTTAATACTTCTATACTTATTATATAAACAACATCACCATCCGCCCTCAAATCCTAGCTTCTTAACATTATTTCAATTAGTTATCTTACCTTATAATATATAATCCCTTTTAACTTTCATATTAATTCGTTCGGCATCCTAATAAATTTGCACATTCTCGGGATTGCCTTTCTACCATTTCATCTCCTTTGTTTCGCAACAATTCTTCTTCTCTTCTCCTCTCTTTCTCCCTTCTTCTATCTTTTTCTACTTTCCTCTTTCCTCCTCTCCTACTCCTCCTCTACTTCCCCTTCCTTCCCCCCCCTCCTCCATTCCTTCCTCCCTTTCTAACCTTCTCTCCTGCACTTAAGAAGTGTTTTTTATTTTTTTTATTTTTTTTAATTTGATTTATATGCCGCCCTTCTCCGGAGACTCAGGGCGGCTTACAATGCGTTAAGCAATAGCCTTCATCCTTTTGTATATTTTATACAAAGTCATCTTATTGCCCCCACAAACTGGGTCCTCATTTCACTTACCTTAGAAAGGATGGTAGGCTGAGTCAACCTTGAGCCTGGTAAGATTCGAACCTGCAGTAATTGCAGGCAGCTGTATTAATAACAGGGTGCTTTAAACCACTGTACTACCAAGGCTCACGTAACACGTAACAACGTAAATTTTGGGCTCAATGGCAGTCGTAACTCGAGGACTACCTATCCATGCCAGTTGGCCAAGCCTCTAAATTTTGATTGCGGGACCATGGGGATACCGCAACGGTCGTAAGTGTGAAAAAAGGATCATCAGTCCCTTTGTTCAGTGTCGTCGTAACTTTGAATGGTCCCTAAATGAACGGTTGCAAGTCAAGGACTACCTGTATTTAGATCAGTTTCCACTGGCAGGTCTAATTTTTTTTTTTTTTTTTAATTTTGATTTTATATGCCGCCCTTTTCCGGAGACTCAGGGCGGCTTACAGTGTGTTAAGCAATAGCCTTCATCCTTTTGTATATTTATACAAAGTCAGCTTATTGCCCCCACAAACTGGGTCCTCAATTTACCTACCTTAGAAGGGATGGAAGGCTGAATCAACCTTGAGCCTTGGAGAGATTCGATCTTACTTTAATTGCAGACAGCTGGTGTTAAATTACAGTGCTTCTGTCTGTTGAGCTATACAGGCTCCTTAAATCTCTCATGAATATGAGGTCAAACACTTAACCCGGCTGCACACACTCACAGGTAAATTTTACAGCACTGGAGAATGCACCACTTTCCGCAAACATCTGTGGCCTGTTCCCCTTCACCAACTACTCCATGCAAGTACGGGCAAAATATCTGCAGAGTTCTGCTTTCCAAAGTGATGGTGATCCCTTTTGGAGCGACTGGAGTTTGGAGACATTTGCAAGGACCCTTCCGGCAGGTAGGGAAATTCAGCTGTTTTTAGCTGATGTGATTGTGCTACGCATTTCTGTCTTGCAAGAGGCTGGGATTTCATTCCGCGGAACCTTATTCATTAGTTCTGCAACTCATCAAGAACTTCAAAGTATGCCCAGAATGGACAACATCAAAAATTTAGACTTGGCGGGTTTTTTCTTTTTTTTTAAAAGAGGGGCTAGCTGTATTTTAAGTGATTTACAAAACAGGTTTAAGCTCTGAAATTCATCTGGATTCAGCCCTTAATTTGGGCTGATTTTCCTCTCCAGGATAATTAAATGCCAAAACATTTCCAAAGTTTAAAGACATCAGAATAACAGAATAACAGAGTTGGAAGGGACCTTGGAGGTCTTCTAGTCCAACCCCCTTGCTCAAGCAGGAGAGACTATACCACGGATCAGCAACCTGTGGCTCTGGAGCCGCCTGTGGCTCTTTCAGCCCTCTGCTGCGGCTCCCTGTCACTCAAAATAATGCGTCACAACTGCCAATGTGCGACACCCGTCGGCACACAATTTATTGAGCTTTTCAGTCCCCGGTAGGCCAACCATGGATAAATCCAAGAAAAGAAAAATTTCAGAAGAAAACAGAACGTTTAATTCAACTACATATGCTAGTTTTGTGGCCGCTCAAGATATAGTCAGGCACGGGAAGGGTTTTTGTGGCTCCCGGTGTTTTCTTTTCTGTGGGAAATGGGTCCAAATGGCTCTTTTGAGTGTTTAAGTTTGCAGACCCCTGCCCTATCCCATTTCAGACAAATGTTTGTCCAATCTCTTCTCCAGTGATAGAGTACCCATAACATCTGGTAGGAATCCGTTCCACTGATTAATTGTTCTCTGAAATCCTCCCCGCTTGAAATGCTGAATGAATTTTTCTCCCCCTGTTTCAACGATTTCATTGACAGCTTCAAGAAGCTCTTAGCTTTTCCTAGAATGTGGCCCACTGCGGTGGGCGCAGCCATCAAGAATGACCTAATCTGGATGCACAGCCATGTTCCTCATGAAATCAGCACCTTGGAGAGCTCCGCTGGAGCATTTGCTTTCATTAGGCAGTACCACGAGATGTTGTCTCAGCAAGGAACTTCAAATAGTCCTCGCCTTACGACCACAATTGGACCAGGTTTTCCATTTGCTAAGCAAGGCCGCTTTTAAGGCAGTCAACCCTCATTTTATGGCTTTTTCGGCTAGTGTGGTTAGGCAAATCCCTTCAGTTGTTAAATGAACAATGCTGTCGTTAAAGGAATCCAGCTCACCCCGTTGAGTCTGCTTGCCAGAAGCTGGCTGAGAAGGACAGAATAACAGACTAACAGATTGGAAGGAACCTTAGAGGTCTACTAGTCCAACCCCCTGCTCAGACAGGAGACCCTATACCAGGGGTGTCAAACTTGATTTCATTGAGGGCCCTATCAGTGTTTGACCCCCAAGGTCAAACACAAGGTTGTGTTTGACCTTGGGGGCCGGGAGGGGGCATGGCCTGGGGGGGCGTGGCCGGGGTGGTGTGGCCAGCTCAACATCACTCATGTCGGGGGCACCTGTGGTGGCCCAGGCAGGATTGGGGGGGTGGATCCTCCTGCAGCCATCTGCCAGCGAAAACGGAACCTGGGAGGACCGTGCATGGATTGCCGCAAGGGGTCGTAAATGCAAGCACCGGTTGTAAGCCACTTTTTCCCGTGCCTTTGTAACTTTGAAGAGTCACTAAATGAATGGTCATAAGTCAAGGACTACCTGTAAGACCTTATGAAGACAAAGAAGATTTTCTGTCCTAGGGACCCTAGAGAAAGCTGGCTATTTTTTTTGCAAGTCACCATGCTTGATTGTGTTAGAATATGTGCATACAATTGTCCTCTCTTAAAGCCGCCTGTAGGAGAAGGAGTGGCAGAATCAGGGGCGGAGTCAAATGAGGAATCAGCCTAGAATCCTTACGTACCTTATTTTTTGGAGTATAAAACACTTCGGACTATAAGACACACCTACCTTTTTGGGGGAGGAAAACAAGAAAAAAAATCTGCCTCTGCGTCTGCCTTCCAGCAATTTTCCTCCTTGCAGCAAACAGCAAACAACCTGCTTTAGTTTCATTTTCAGCACAGCCTGATTAGCACAAGAAAAAAAAAATCTGCCTCCCAGCAATTTTCGTCCTTGCAGCAAACAGCGGAGTCCTGCGTGGCAATCCCTGCAGCCTGAAACAGCTGAGGGTCGCGAGGCCGATCCAACCGACAATCAGCTTCTTGTGCTGATCAGGCTGTGCAAAAGCTGAAACGGGCTGTTTGCTGCAAGGACGAAAATTGCTGGGGAGGCAGAGGCTAAAAGGGAGGGGGCAGCGGATGAGCAAGGCTACATTTGGTGTATAAGACACACCCAAATTTTCACCCTCTTTTAGGGGTGGGAAAGTGCATCTTATACTCTGAAAAACAGTAGCCACAAATGAATTAAGTCCAATGGTGAATTCCATTGTTTCTATCCAGCACCAAAATAGTGCTGTTAGTTATGTAGATTCCTGTGTATTGGCACAGGAATCAGTTTAACTAAAACCTCTTGGTCTTTGTGTCTGAAACACAAAGGGAATATAGTCCAGGTTTTTCTCCACCCCCTACAAAAAATGCCAACTTGCGTTCACGATGGAGATGTTCACAGGCACAAGTTCTAGAGATGTTTCTCGCTCCACAACCTTGCAATTGATTTGCTTCTTTCTCCTTCTCCTTCTCCTTCTCCTTCCCCTTCTCCTACTTCTCCTTCCCCTTCTCCTTCCCCTTCTCCTTCCCCTTCCCTTTCTCCTTCTCCTTCTCCTTCTCCTTCTCCTACTTCTCCTTCTCCTTCTCCTTCCCCTTCCCCTTCTCCTACTTCTCCTTCTCCTACTTCTCCTTCTCCTTTTCCTTCTCTCCTTCTCCTTCCCCTTCCCCTTCCCCTTCTCCTTCCCCTTCCCCCCCCCCCTCCCCCTTCTTCTCCTTCTCCTTCTCCTTCCCCTTCCCCTTCTCCTTCTCCTTCCCTTCTTCCCCTTCCCCTTCTCCTTCTCCTTTTCCTTTTCCTTCCCCTTCCCCTTCTCCTTCTCCTTCTCCTCTCCCCTTCCCCTTTCCCTCTCCTTCTCCTTCTCCTTTTCCTTTTCCTTCCCCTTCCCCTTCTCCTTCTCCTTCCTCTTCTCCTTCTCCTTCCCCTTCCCCTTCTCCTCTCCCCTACTTCTCCTTCTTCTCCTTCTCCTTCTCCTTCGCCTTCTCCTTCCCCTTCCTTCTCCTTCTCCTCTCCCCTTCCCCTTCTCCTACTTCTCTTCCCTTCTCCTTCTCCTTCCCCTTCCCCTCCCCTTCCCCTTCCTTCCCTTCTCTTCCCCTCCCCCTCCCCCCCTTCTTCTCCTTCTCCTTCTCCTTCCCCTTCCCCTTCTCCTTCTCCTTCTCCTTTTCCTTCCCCTTCCCCTTCCCCTTCTCCTTCTCCTTCTCCTTCTCCTTCCCCTTCCCCTCTCTCCCCCCCTACTTCTCCTTCTCCTCCTCCTCCTCCTTCTTCTACCTGGAATGGTGGCTGATGCTGAAGTTCCTTCCAGAGGGCCAGCGTTTTGGAGAAAACTAGGAAGCCCCACTGCTGACAAAGAGAGAGCAGTTGTCCTGATGTGGAAGGTAGGAGAAGACACCAAGCTATAGGAGAAGGTCTGGCAGAAGCTGGGGGTGGAGTAAAAAGAGGGATCAGTACTGCATTCTCACCATTGTGCCATCACTGTCCCTTCCTTCCTTCCTTCCTTCCTTCCTTCCTTCCTTCCTTCCTTCCTTCCTTCCTTCCTTCCTTCCTTCCTTTCCTTCCCAGTTAGCACTTAGACTTACAGTGCTTTTTACAACCCTTTCTAAGCGGTTTACAGAGTCAGCCTATGGCCCCCAACAATCTGGGCTCTCATTTTACCAACCTCAGAAGGATGGAAGGCTGAATCAACCTTGAGCCTGGTGAGATTCGAATTGTCAAATTGCAGGCAGCCGGCAGTCGGGAGAAGTAGCCTGCAGTACTGCACTCTAACCACTGTGCCACCATCATTAAAAAAAAAAGTCATAAAATCAAGCATGACTAACTTAACCACCGTCTTGTTTAACAACAGAAATTCTGATCCTAATTGTGGCTGTAAGTCAAGGATCTACCCGTATCCTGACTTTTCAGGATCCCTCTCCCAGGCCATGAAGGCTTAGCCCCGTCCCTTTGAGGAGAGCAGCTCTTAACATACTAGCTTAGTATTTTTTTCAACATTGGCAACTTTAAGACGGGTGGACTTCAACTTTCCAGAGCTGGCTGGGGAATTCTGGGAGTTGAAGTCTGTCCATCCATGTCCCGTTTCCCCCCCCCCCCACACATCTTAATGTTGCCAAGGTTAAGAAACACAGTACTAGGATAAACCTTGATGAAACTGAAATATCTAAGATAGGCAAACACAGGTTGCATAGCTTTCCTTTCAAAGGTAAAGTTTCCCCTCGCACATATGTGCTAGTCGTTCCACTCTAGGGGGCGGTGCTCATCTCCGTTTCAAAGCCGAGGAGCCAGCGCTGTCCGAAGATGTCTCCGTGGTCCTGTGGCCGGCATGACTCAACACCAAAGGCACACGGAACACTGTACCTTCCCACCAAAGGTGGTCGCTATTTTTCTACTTGCATTTTCTACCTGCTTTCGAACTGCTCGGTTGGCAGAAGCTGGGACAAGTCACGGAGTTCACCCCGTTACACGGCACTAGGGATTCGAACTGCTGGACTGCCGACCTTTCGATCGACAAGCTCAGCGTCTTAGCCACTGAGCCACCGTATCCCTGTTGTATCCCTATTATATTATATATAACCCTATATATATATAAGGTTTCCTTAATGGTGGACTTTTGCGTAGTTTTTTTTTTTTTTTAAATTTGATTTATATGCCGCCCTTCTCCGGAGACTCAGGGCGGCTTACAAGGCGTTAAGCAATAGCCTTCATACTTTTGTATATTTTATACAAAGTCAGCTTATTGCACCTACAAACTGGGTCCTCAATTACCTACCTTAGAAAGGATGGAAGGCTGAGTCAACCTTGAGCCTGGTGAGATTCGAACTTACAGTAATTGCAGGCAGCTGGTGTTAATCACAATGCTATCAGTCTGCTGAGCCACCAGGCCCTAGTATGCAGTCGATTGCTTTTCCTTTGTCGTTCCTTATCTTAGCCTTCTTCTCTCCCTGAAACCTGATCACAGGCCTCGTCTTTTTCATTTATCCTGCTAGCCCTTGAAGCCCAAGGATGCCAACGGCGAGATTTTGGGATACAGCCTCCGCTCTCAGAGGAAAGGGGAGCTCACGGTGCCCGCGTGCATCACCTCTCACCACCTGAAGTGTCGTCTGCTCCTCCCGGCTGGCGAAGAATTCACCTTTTATCTCACCGCCAGAAACACGGTTGGCATCTCACCTCCAACCAGGCTGGTGATTCCAGCCTTCCGTAACGCAGAAGGTAAGATTTGCAAGAGTCGTTATAAAAGGGGGGGGAAAAAACTGGCTTAAATGTTTCGCCACCCCTTTTTGGCGGGTGGCAAAAATAGGAAGAGACGTTTCTGCAAACTAAATTTGGGGAGGAAGGGAAATTGTGTTGGTCCATCTTGTTCTTCTCTCCTTGATCAACGTAAGAAGCAGAATGTCTATGGCAGGGGTGGGTTCTAACATTTTTTACTACCAGTTCTGTGGGCGTGGCTTATTTTGTGGGCGTGTTTTGATGGTCATGTGACAATTCTTTAGGATTTAGCAGAGGTACTGGTCTACCAGGCTTTTAACTGCTTGCAGAGCTGTACCAGTCTACTCATTTGTTCTTGGAGCGTTCCGGTCTACCCATTTGTTTTTGGAGGCACCGGTCTACCCCCACACACTGCCTTTTAACACTGATCAGCTGTAGGCGGCCCTTTGAAGCCCCACGGCAAGAATTTAAACAGCTTTTTCCTTCTAGCCAATCAGCTGGGACTCGGGGGGGCAGCGAATAGATTGGGGGCAGGGCCAAATAAAAGGTAAGAATAACATGGGGGTGGGGCGGGAGGGCCCAGCTCCTGAACAAAGAGAACCGGTTCGGTGACATCATATTGTCACCGCTACCGGCTCGGCCGAACCGGGCCGAACCGGGAGGAACCCACCACTGGTCTATGGAGATTCTCAATCATCCATGGTTGTCCCAAAGGTGCTTTTATTTTACAAGAGGCAACTGGACTTTCTTGTTTTTCTTCGAAGACGTTTCCCTTCTCATCCAAGAAGCTTCTTCAGCTCTGACAGGATAGTGGGGAATGGAAGGATTTATGTGTTCTGACCTAGGCTCCCTTAAAAAGCAGGAAGCTGAGTCTTGGTCCTGGCAAAACCTCTTTTATTTACACGACTGTGAATTACATTCATTCACCATTAGCAAGGCTTGTTCAAACAATTTTCCAAAGGAATATTTATCAACACACCTTATCTCACTTGGCAAGCTGCCACGTAACTTGTTTCCAAATGCAGAGTAAGGCAAAACTTGGCACAGAGTCTCTGAGAATCACGAACAGAACTTTCCACTCTTGAAACGAATAAATGAACAAATTGTTTCCTGCAAAAGCCCACTCCCCGTTCTCTCCTCTTTTGTTTCCTATGGGAGGGGCCAATCACCTCCAAGGTGTAGCTTTACTCCCAAGTCGACCCTGCTATCTGAGTTGTTCTTATCTTCTGGCAGCTCTGCGCATGTGCACATTGGGAACAGGCTCCAGCTGTTCCTCTGCCTCACTGCTGTCTAGCTCCCTCTCTGCCTTAGCTGTTCCCTTTGTCTGGAAACTCTGCGTCACACTGGGAACAGGCTCCAGCTATTCGTCTGCCTCACTGATGTCTGACTCCGAAGGCAGCTGATAACTGTCAGACGGCCCTGGTCCCATCTCTGCCTCCGACACAGAGCCCTCATCTGAGCTTTCACCAGCCCCCAGGACTGGCCCATGTCCTCCCCAACCTCCTCACTGTCTGACTCTGCTGCCAGCTCCACTGGCCACCAGCAGGCCACAATACTATATTCCTTGCAGACAGCTGGTCATTTGCATTCTTCTGGAGAGTCGTTGAGGCCACTTGGAGGCTTCTCTGTGTCCTCAGAGTCACCTGAGTGGCTCAAATGGCTGTGGATCCTTCTTGGCTGCAGGATGTTTTCTGCCCTGGGTCCCTTCCCTGTTGAAGACAGACGCAGGCTGATGGGGATGAGTGTTCTGCCCCAGCTACGGACCCCAAAGAACGCAGCACACACAAAGTCCGTTCAAACCTTAGTTTACTGAATAAACCAGTCTTTTACAACAACGGCTGTTAATTAATTGCATTAACAGCCACCAAGAATTCAAAAAATAATAACTGAAAGCTTACTATGGTTGGCAGAATGCCCAGAAGCAATTCGCAGGAAGCTGATAAGATAAGCAAGAGAAGACACGAAGGTATGTGAACGAAGTTGTTCCCTGCAAATTGCTTCAGTCGGCGTTCCTCCTTAAATAGGCTAAGGGAATGGCCAATTAGCCCCAAGCCTTACTCTCGAGGAGACCTCCTCCTGAGGAGCCACTCCTGCCTTTTGGCAGCTCTGCGCGCCCGTGCATCGAGAAGAGGCTCCTCCTCTTCGTCCTCTTCACTTAAGGGAGCTTCTGGAGGTTCTGAAGGCCCTGGCTGAATCCCTGCCTCTGGCACCACATCTTCTCCAGCCTCCTCATTGTCCGACTCGAGTGCCAGCTGCAAAGGCTGCTGACGCAGCACCACACCAGCCTCCTCACTGTCTGAATCAGCTACTAGCTTCACAGGCCGCGAACGGGCCACAACAATGAGTCTGTGTTGTCTGCATCTCAAACAGAAGAGCAAATGGTTCCTGCAATTTTAGATAAACCTCCAAGTAACCTCAATGACTCTCTAAAAAGGATGCAAATGACCAGCTGTCTGCAAGAAGTATAAATCCTTCCATTCCCCATCATCCAGTCAGAGCTGAAGAAGCTTCTTGGATGAGAAGTGAAACGCCTTCAAAGAAAAACCAGAAAGTCCAGTTGCCTCTTGAAAAAAGCACCTTTGGGACATGAGAGCAGATGGCAACATTAAAATTATACAAAATCCATATTTCTCAACTTTGGGAACTTTAAGATGCATGGACCTCACACATCCTGGCTGGGGAATTCTGAGAGTTGAAGTCCAGGCATCTTAAAGCTGCCAAGGTTGAGAAACTCTATAAATTGCCTCTCTTTTTTGTCTCTAGTCCCACCTTCCCCTCTGTCCATCCTGGTGTCTTCGGCAGGGGACCACTCCCTCCTCTTACAGTGGTCTCTTCCCAGCAACCCCAAGATGGACTTTGTTCTGGAGTGGAACAAACTGCCTGAGAAGGAAGTGGGAGACCCACACTGGCAATATCAGTCGGAACACGTCAACCGTACGGTCATTAGGGTGAGTGTGGTTGATAATGGTGAGGATGGAGAGAATAGAGGCAGGAAAAAGAGTTGCTAAAGCAACAAGGGGCATAGTGAGAGAAAAAGGGAGGGAGAGGAGGGAGGAGGAGGAAAGGGAGGGAGGGAGTGGAGAGGGGAGGAGGAAGAAGAGAGAGGGAGAAGAATGAAGGGAGGAAGGTGTCAGCATTCCAGAACCACCCAACTCCAATTAAAAACTCCAAGACAATCTTCATCTCAAAATCTTCATTTATCGGAATAGGTATACTGGCACATCTGGGAAAACCCGAATCTGAGAGTTCCGGTTTTCCCTCAATAAATCAAAACCCCATATCCAGCCCCTGCAGCCATCAGTCCATCACGTGGCCCAATCACCATCCGTCCCAACTTGAGACCCCTCTGCAACCACTCCTCCTCCAGATGCAGGAGCGCCATGACCTTGACCGAAGAGAAGAATGCTATTATGTCTAACTAAAATCTCTCAACTAAATCCCCCTTTCCCAAGCGCAAGAAAGTGGCAGCGTGGAAGCTTCCAGGGTTAATATGGCTTCCAAAGCTGACAGAAGGGAGAAAGAAGAGGGAGAGAAGGAGATAGGGAAGGTGGGAGGGAAGGAGGAAAGAAGGAGGGAGGGAGGGAGGGAGGGAGGGAGGGAGGGAGGGAGGAAAAGGAAGGAAGGAAGGAAGGAAGGAAGGAAGGAAGGAAGGAAGGAAGGAAGGAAGGAAGGAAGGAGCCTGAGTGGCGTAGGAGGCTTATGCCTCCTACTAAGGCAGCATTTAACATCAGCTGCCTGCAATTACTGCGAGTTCAATTCTCACCAGGCTCAAGGTCGACTCAGCCTTCCATCCTTTCTAAGGTAGGTAAAATGAGGGCCTGGTTTGTGGGGGCAATAAGCTGAATTTGTATAAAATATACAAAAGTATGAAGGCTATTGCTTAACACATTGTAAACTGCCCTGAGTCTTCGGAGAAGGGCAGCATATAAAAATAAATTAAAAAAAAAAAAGGAAGGAAGGAAGGAAGGAAGGAAGGAAGGAAGGAAGGAAGGAAGGAGAGAAGGGTGGAAGGGACAGAGGGACGAAGGGTGGAAGTAAGAAGGAAAGGAGGAAAGAAGAAAGAAGAGAGGGAAGGGAGGGAGGGAGGAAGGAAGGAGAGAGAAGGTGGGAAGGAGGGAGGGATAGAGGGAGGAAGGGAGGAGGAAAGGAGGAAAGAAGAAAGAGAGAGAAGGGGGAGGGAGGGAGGAAGGAAGGAGAGAGAAGGGTGGGAAGGAGGGAGGAATAGAGGGAGGAAGGGTGGAAGTAAGAAGGAAAGGAGGAAAGAAGTAAGAAGAGAGGGAAGGGAGGGAGGGAGGGAGGAAGGAAGGAGAGAGAAGGGTGGAAGGAGGGAGGGATAGAGGGAGGAAGGGAGGAGGTAAGGAGGAAAGGAGGAAAGAAGGAAGAAGAAGGGAGGAAGGAAGGAAGGAGGGAAGAGTGGGAAGGAGGGAGGGAGAAAGTGTTGAAAGGTGGAAAGAAGGAAGAAGGAGAGAAAGAGAGGAGGGAGGAGGGAAGGAAGGAAGGAAAGAGAAGGATGGAAGGGACAGAGGGACGGAGGGCGGAAGTAAGAAGGAAAGGTGGAAAGAAGGAAGAAGGAAGGAAGGAAGGAAAGGAAGGAAGGAAGGAGAGAGAAGGGTGGGAAGGAAAGGAATGAGAGGAAGTTCAAAGACAAAAGGGGATATTTCTGGGGAAATATCAGAAAGAAAGAATTGCCACAAAGAAAGACAGAAGAGAGGAAAAAGGAAGGTGGGAAAAAAAAGAATAAGAGAGAAGGATGGGCTAGAAAGAATGAATAAGGCATGAATCACAATCCTACGGGGATTTTAGCACCGTCCACTCTTTGCAAGGCCCCTTTGGTGAGGAAAAGCAGCTGCTTGGATGTCTTTGCTGCAGCAACTGGCGTAGAGCCACTCTCCAGGTTCCACGGACCCTCTTCACCAGCCTCCTCTCACGAAGAGGAAATGGGAATGGCATATCTGGGCAGCTGCCTTGCCTGGCTTGCAAGACTGAAGTTGACACACAAACACACACACACACACCCCGTGAACTTCCAACAACGACAAAAACAACAACCCTTCGGATTTTGCACCCAGCCTTTCCAAGGCAGCCAGGAAATTACTTATTGATCCTCTGCTTACACGGCGCATCCTCAGAGAATGCTCTTCGGAATCACACCCACAAGGCCCCCCCTCCGTTGCGAAAATCAGTTTGGCCAGAACCGAGGGGGCTCAATCGAAGGGAGATTTCCTGCAGGCAAAAACTTCGCTGTGAAGCTGCCAGAATTATCAGAGCCAAACAAACGGGGTGGGGTGGGGGGGAGAGATAGAAAAACCAAACCTTAGGGACGCAAATCGTTTCTGTAACCGCTCGCTTTTTCCTCTTCCTCCTCCTCTTCCTCTAGAAGCCATTGAGCCTGGGCATCTTTATGCCGTGAAGATCTTTGGACTCTTAGATGGACGTCTCGGGGCTTTTGGTTCGGCTCAGGGTTACTCCAAGCAAATCGGTAAGCGGAACCTGTGAGACCTCCTGGGGGTTGATATTCCTGGATTTGGGGGCTGGCTATTGTTTAGTAGAGGGACGTGGTGGCTCAGTGGCTAAGACACTGAGCTTGTCGATCAGAAGGTCAGCAGTTCGAATCCCTGGTGCCGCGTAACGGGGTGAGCTCCCGTGACTTGTCCCAGCTTCTGCCAACCTAGCAGTTCGAAAGCAGGTAAAAAATGCAAGTAGAAAAATAGGGACCACCTTTGGTGGGAAGGTGTGCCTTTGGCGTTGAGTCATGTTGGCCACGTGACCACGGAGACGTCTTTGGACAGCGCTGGCTCTTCGGCTTAGAAACGGAGATGAGCACCGCCCCCTAGAGTCGGGAATGACTAGCACATATATGCGGGGGAACCTTTACCTTATTATTTAGTAAGAAAGTGCACGATGGCGCAGTGGTTAGAGTGCGGTACTGCAGGCTACTTCTGCTGCCTGCCGGCTGCCTGCAATTTGACAGTCTCAAATCTCACCAGGCTCAAGGTTGACTCAGCCTTCCATCCTTCCGAGGTGGCTAAAATGAGGACCCAAGATTGTTGGGGGTAAGAGGTTGACTCTGTAAACCACATAGAGAGGGCTGAAAAAGCGCTGAAAAGCAGTATATAAGCCTAAGTGCTATTGCTATTTGCTATTGCACCACTCATACAGAAAAAGGAAGTATCAGTAGGCTTGGAGTGACCTCAAATTATGGAGATGTACATGTATAAATATCTTTTATTTGCTACCATATTGTGAGGCAGGGGTTTCCAAACTTGGCGACTTTAAGACTGGTAGACTTCAACTCCCAGAATTCCCCAGCCAGCATGGAGTATCTTGACTGCTGTGGGTATTTACTTTCGATTCATTTTTAGAGCTTTAAAACAGTTTTAGTGTTTTCATTGTAATATATCGGCTAGCGGAGGAATGGGCTGGTGGAGGAATTCTGGGAGTTGAAGTCCACAAGTCTTTAAGTGGCCAAAGTTGGAGACCCTCCCTTGTTCTAAAGGAATGTGAGAATGACTTTGGGAGAAAAGGGGAAGAGATGCTGCCTAGATAGATAGATAGATAGATAGATGGATGGATAGATAGATAGATAGATAGATAGATAGATAGATAGATAGATGATAGATAGATCACATTTAAGAACCATCTATCTCTCTCTCAGAAGAACTCTGTGTGGGGTACAATAAAATATTAAAAGCATAAAAACAGTATTTTAACTTCCAGTGTTGGAGCATTCACAACTTCTGGAGGCAAGTTGTTCCACTAATTAATTGTTCTAACTGTCAGGAAATTTCTCCTTAGTTCTAAATTGTTTCTCTCTTGATTAGTTTCCATCTGTTGCTTCTTGTCCTGCCCTCAGGTGCTTTGGAGAATAGCTTGACTCCCTCTTCTTTGGGCAGTCCCTGAGATATTGGAAGACTGCTATCATGTCTCCCCTAGTCCTCCTTTTCATTAGACTAGACATACCCAGTTCCTGCCACCATTCTTCATGTTTTATCCTCTAGTCCCCTCATCATCTTTGTTGCTCTTCTCTGGATGCAGTAATAGTTCCATTAAAAGACCTCAGTGATTGGCATCCTATTCTGGAGTTATGCTCTTCTGCCACTTTTGGTGGCAAGGTTGATGCTTAGATCTCTCCTTTCTATTTTCCAGCTCCACTTCGGGCCCCGGCTTTGTATCCCACTCAAGTCTGGAAATCTTGGGTGGAGCTGCAGTGGGAGAGGCTCCCTTTGGAAGAAAGGGGTGGCAAGATCCAGAACTACACCCTTTACTACAAGGAAGAGAAGAAGGATGACTATCGTAAGGAGAAACCTTATGCTTCTCAGCAAAGAGTTAGGTTTGAAATTTGCAAGGAGGCCTCAGGAAAGCACCTGGGGTTGAAGTAGAGGTTGCATTTAATTCATTCAGAAACTTTTCCCTTCCTTTTTTGTGTGTTTTTTAAGCTCCTAGAATCGAGTGTTTCTCAATCTTGGCAGTTTGAAGATGCGTGGACTTCAACTCCCAGAATTCTTTGCTGGCTGGGGAATTCTGGGAGTTTGAAGTCCACCCATCTTCAAGTTGCCAACTAGATCATTCGGAGGAGAGTTCCAGCTGTGGAATCTGGGATGGATGCTCTTGAAGGTCTCAGAAATCCGTTGAGACAAATTGTGGGTCTCCTGTAATTTTATCCCTCTCATCGTTTTATTTCTTTAGTACATTTATGTGCCTCCCATCTCGAATTAGCTAAACCACGAACATGATGGGAAAGAGGTAAGGGGCAGAATGTGGAAGGCAAGGCACAAATATATACCGTGTTTTCCCGAAAATAAGACCTAGCCCGATTTTTACGTGTGTGCCTAATATAAGCCCTACCCTCAAAATAACCACTAGTGAAGGGGGGTAGGCGTGGCCAGCACAGGAAGCGGCAAATCACAGCTCACACAGCACAGGGGAGGCACTGTTCTGTCCCCATACCACACACGCACCCCCACAGACGGCCCGGAGTTAATAAGCCACACGACAAAACTCTTTGAAGATAAAGCTGGCAGCAACCCAGTGGCTAGCTGCCAATTCAGACTTTACTCACACAAAACTAAGATTAGACTGCAAGCATTCCGATAAAACAGGCAGAGTTTCAACAATACAAGGATTAATCCAAATGCAATCCGATAAAGCAGGCAAAGTCCAGTAATGCAGAGATCATGGATTATTTCCAGTTTTTGCTTGTCACAAACTGAACTGGCCACCACACCCACATTTATACCCTGTGGGGTGTGATCCAGTGACTCAGCTAATCTCTGGCACGCCTTCCCCTCTGCTGCGCATGCGTCTCCCTGCGCCTCTGCCGAGGGTCCAGCCAGCACTTATCTTCTTCGTCGCTGTCCACCTGTGGCTGCGGGGACGTGCTTGGCTCTGAGCCTATCTTTTGGCCTTCCGTGTCCTCCGGAGGCATTGCCAGAGAGGAGGGTCCTGGAGAGGGAGGCCTTGCCAACTCCTCTCCCTCACTCTCAGAGTCTGCATCTGTCAATAGCCCAAGCTCAGGCAACGGAGCCACAACAATAACACAGCCAACACACAGATACACTGAGTTGTGTTTACTTTCAGGAAATAGTAATAAGGCACAGTCCAATAAACAGTCCAGGTCATACACGTATAAAGCAGTAGATATCAAACAATAGTCCAAGGATAATCCAATAACAAGGTCTTCTTACCAGTTGTTGTAGTCATACACAATAACAATTCTTCTGTATTTGCAGTAGCAAACACAGCAAAGAGCAAAGCAGCAAAGAGAAGCAAAAATATCAAAGAGAAACAAACCATGTTTCTAGCTCCCTTTTAAGGACATTGGCTACAAAGCTAACCAATCAGGACACAGTATGATGCAATACAGCAATCTTAAAGCTATATTTATGGTTTATATATTGCCAACCCAACAAGTTAGGTAAAATCATTTCCTAACAGTTTCTTGCTCTGCCCTCTGGTGCCCAACAGGGGGCGAGCTAGCTCCACCTAGATAAGCTAAATCTACTCTTATTGTAAAGCTCCATCAACAGATTCTTGCAAGCCTGACAGTGCAAATATCCCCACTGTCTCCTTTGACAGCCAAAAAAAAAACCTACGCATGGTCCCTTCTGAGCCTCTTTCTCCATCCGTTATGCAGGTCTGGGCTACGTCCTCGCTTATCTGACCACATTGCTTTGCCCCGTCTCTCAAGGTCTTTCTCTCACACACCCCACTTCTAATCCAGCACCTTCACTGCCAGACTGCCCCGAGCCTGAAGTTCATTCTTGAAACCTGCACCCGAAAGGGTGACCTAAGCCCAGGTGGTCCTCGATTTACAACAGTTCATTTAGTGACCAAGTTACAACTGCACTGAAAAAAGTGACTTAGGACCGGTTTTTTTACTCTTATGACTTTTGCAGCATCCCTACAGTCACATGATTAAAATTTATATGCTTGGCAATGGACTTATACCGTGTTTCCCCAAAAATAAGACCCTGTCTTATATTTTTTTTGAACCCCGAAATAAGCGCTTGGCCTTATTTTCGGGGAGATCTTATTATTTTGGGGTGCGTGGAGCAAGATGGGGATCCTCTTGCCATCTTACCTGATTTCCAGCTCTGTCTCCCTAACTCTAACCAGGGGAAATGGCAGGGACCGACTGCACATTCGGTTAAATATTTTCGGGGAGGGCTTATTTTCAGGGGGCTTATTTTGGGGTGGGCTTAAAAGGCCGATTCGGCTTATTATCAGGGGATGTCTTATTTTCGGGAAAACACGGTATTTATGACGGTTGCAGTGTTCCCGGAGTCACACAATGTCCTTTTTGTGACTTTCTGACATGCAAAATCATTAGGGGGAGCCAGATTCGCTTTAAAACTGTTGTTACTAGCTTAACTGTTGCAGTGATTCACTTAGTGGCAGAAAAGCTTGTAAAATGGGGCGAAACTCATGGAACCACCTGTCTCGCTTAGCGGCGGAAATTTTGGCCTCCATGGTGGTCGTAAGTCGAGGACTGTCTGTGGAAAAGGCCCGAAGTGCCAAAGTCAACGAAGGGCAGTGCCAAAGTCAACGGAGTCTTTGCAACTGTCGGTCTGGCCTCTCTCCCTGCTTCTTCTTTTCCAGGGGCCGTGGTGCTCGACGGCTTGGTGCATCGCTACGTCATCAACGGCTTGGCGCCCGGCTCAACCGTGAGGGTGTACATGGTGACGGCCAATGAAGGTGGAAACACCAGAGGATCCATGCTGTCCATCCGTACCAAGAACTACGGTGAGGATTGTTAACTACAGGCTGGATGGTTCAAGGCAGCTCAGACTGGATGAGAGACCATGAATGCATCCTTTATGTCAGGGGTTCCCAATTCCGGGACTGTGGCTCCCTACCGGACCATGGCCCATTCAGAACTGGGCTCTGGAAGCAGTGGGGGACGGGGGGGGC